CCCCTTCTCCGTGCGCCCCACGCTTTGCTGACGGGGGTGCACGGCCCTGCCTTCCCACAATCCCCCAAATTATTCACTCCCCCACCTCGCTGCTCAAGAGTCCTGGAGGTAACACCCTCCCCACCCACCCCACCCCCAGACACTAGCCCCTCCAACCTTGGGCACTGAGCTCACAGACCCAGGGTCGCACCCACCACCCCCTTCCGTGCCAACAGAGCCCCAGATGCCTGGGCTCTGCACCCAGGCACCACCCAGCATTTGACCTTGGCCCACCACCTCCTCTCCGTCTGCATCTGCCGCAGGGGGCTGGAACTGGGAATGTGCCAGGGTCCCACCCGGGTCTGAGATTCTGTGACTTAGTTTCCACATCCCCACCCTTGCCTCCCCACCCCCGACACACACACCCAGTCTCTCTCAGGTCACATCTCCTTTCCCAAGGGCAATAGTCTTTGGAAGGAACTACTGGATCCAAATTTGACATTTTGGGGTCGCCCCAAAATTATGCACCTCTCACAAAGCCAAGGGCTGTTGAGAGACAGCTGTCAAAATCACTACCCAGAACCCTAAGAAGAGCCAAACAGGACATGGGGCACACCCAGGTGGAACTGCTGGAGAGGAGTATGGGCCTGGCCTAGGCAGTGAGTGGCAGGAGAACTCGGCTGTCCCCATGGCATGCTGGCCACCCTCTCGCACTCCTGCCCTTACCTGCATCTTGGCTCAACCCAAAAGACTTCCTTCATGCTGCACAAGGGGGGGAGGGGGTCAGCCCCCTCTGCTTTGGACCAGCAACCCCCTGCCAGGCGCCCCCAGCCCCCAACACACACTCACACTCAGCCTTAGCACCACTGAAGCTCGTGAGCCGCCTTGGGCGCTGCTGGGAAGCCAGCTCAGTGCTGTGTGGAAAGTAGAGCCACAGCCATTTAAGACCCTAGCTCCCTTCACTGAAACAGAGGTGTCTGGCTTCCTCCCCTGAACGCATGTGCTCAAGAGCGTGAAACAAGAAGCTGCAGTCAGCTGTGTATAAGGAGAACATTGAACTGTGCCCCGAAATGCAGGATAAGAATCCTCCCTGCTATGGGTGAATTGTGCCGCACCCCCCAATCCACACGTTGAAGTCCTAACCTCCAGGACTTCCAGATGTGCCCTTGTTTGGAAACAGAATGGTTGCAGATGTGCCGATGAGGTCCTCCGGGAGCAGGGTGGGCTCCTTTGCCGGCGTGACTGGTGTTCTCATGAAAGAGGAAAGTTGGACACAGATGTGCACTCTAGAAGGACGCCGTGAGAAGGTTGGAGTCAGCCTGCACCAGCCAAGAACCGACCAGAAGCTGAGCCAGGGCCTGGAGCAGAGACTTCCCTGAAGCTGCAGAGGGAACGGGCCCTGCCAGATGCTCGGTCTCAGCCCCAGACCCTGTCTGCTAGCCTGTGAAGTCAGACAACAGCTCCTCTAATACCCACGCGGCTTTCAGAGGGTCTTGCCAACCTGGGACCCCCATGAACTGGACCCTGTACACTGATGCATCAAGGCACCCTAAGACTCATCCTCTGCCATTGTCCCTCCCTAGGCAGTTCACTGAGCAAAGGGGCTCCTCTCTGGGGTCCTCAGACCCTCATCTCCTCCCAGTTGGGATCTCCCCACCATTAGCAGCTTTGGTCTCTCCCTTGAGAGCCATTTCCTCTCCACCCCAGGGCTCTGGATGATGTAGTTAAATCTCCATCAAAGGATGTTTAGATATCCCTTCATGTCTACTTCCAGGGTGGGGGTGCAGATGCTCACAGACACCACTCGTTCGTTCCAGGCCATCCTGTTAGGTGTCCATGTATGTTTCATCCTTCCATTGCATTGTGGAGGTGTTTCCATTATTATATTAGTGTTCTGGTGATATAGCTGGTCATCATTCCCAGTTCTCTATTCTTCCCCAACAGACCACCTAATAGTCATTATTTTTTTAAAGATTTCTTTATTTGTGCACACAGAGCTGGGGTACAGGCCAAAGGTGCAGGGGCAGTGTGAGAGGAGTCACCAGAGGCAGAGTGGGGAGCAGAACAGGCAGACCGACAAAGTACACTGCTGAGGGGAGCAGCGGGTGGGTCAGGAGAGGTCTGCCGTGCCATGTGGGTCACTTCCCAGGTCAAGGATTGGGGATCGAACTTGTGCAGCTGCAACTAGCTTCTAGTGCTTCGCTTTAACCCGTCATGCCATCAGGGAGGGCCCAGTCATTTTTTTTTTCCCCTAGCTGCACTGAGCTGTGCCAATATCAAGTTGCTAGGAGAAAGCATGTGAAAGATTGACTCATTAGCCAGTCTGGGGAGTCCCAGGCTCTCCATTCACTATGTCACTCCCCACCTTTAACCGTAATAACACGATAACTTCATCACATCCTTAAATTTAGAAAGTCTTTTCCAGCTTACAAGTCACTCCAAGGTAGAGCATCTAAATCCCATTTGACAGGGGAGAAAAATGAAGCTCAGAAAGTTTAACATTTGAGACTCATGGGAGACCAGATACAGACAGCATAGCCGAGAGTGGAAATCAAGCATTTCCGGCTTCGTGTCTGTCTAGCCCCATATACCACGGCGTCTTTGCCCCAAGCCACCCTGAGTTGATGCCCTGCAAATGTTAAACCTTCCACAACAAGCACCCAACCTGAAATGTACTACCCCTTCCCAGACTAACTACTAAAGGAGACATCTCTGCTGTAGAGGCCAGACTGGAGGAGTGGTAAGCACGAGACCTCGAGAGCCAAGTGGCCTGAGTTCATTCCCCAGCTGTGCCACTCCATCACTGTGTGACCTTGAGCAAATTCTGTGTCCTCCATGGGCCTCCCAGTCCCCATTTGTAAAACAGCAATACTAAGGGGCTGTCAAGAGAAAGAAATGAACGAGTCCATCTGTGTAAAGCGCTTGGGACGGTGCCTGGCACTTGGTATTCGTAACATTAACTGGTTTCACGACTGGCACAAGTCAAAGAGACACAGCACCAGAAGCCCTCGGGCAACTTCCCGAAAATGATGACATGCACACACGTGGAGTGGGAACTGACCTGCCTTTGTAGGGGCAGTGAGTCTTCCAGTCACACTGAGCATAACGACCATACAAAGTCCGTGCAGATGGAACTGGAGGGGTTTTGCCCTCTACCAGGGTAGATGCCCACACTCCGTGGCCAATGGAACAGGCTTTGCACTTATAACCCTAACTCAGCAGACTGAAGAGGGAGGGGGTCAGGTAGTCCCAGGTTGTTACACTGTCCAGGAATGTCCCTTTGCCAAAAGAGTCCCCTCCCTGCTCTCCAGAGCAGCATCACAGGCAAATTGCTATTGAATAGCCACAGCGTGAGGACAAGCTTATTCTTTTTTAACATTTATTTATTATTTATGCATACAAGAACTGGGGTGCAGGCCAGAGGTGCGGGGGGGGTGAGAGGATTCACCAGAGAAACAGAGTGGGGAGCAGAACAGGTGGGTTGATGGAAGTCCACTGCTGAGGGGAGCAGTGGGTGAGACAGGAGAGAGCTGCTGAGCCATGTGGGCCAATGCCTGGCGGGGGATTGAACTCGTGCTGAAGCAGCTGCCGATAGCTTCATAGTGCTGAGTGAGGCTTAACTCCCTCGCCACGAGGGAGGCCTAAGCAGACCTTACTTTCATAAGTGATGGACAGGTAGCGCAGCACTGTGAAGATGCATAGATGTATAGAGATACTACATTAAAAAAAAAGTTCAGGCCCTCCCAGGTGGCGCAGCGGGTTAAAGCACAGCACTGAGAAGCTAAAGCCACTTCCACATGAGTTCGATTCCCGCCTGCCCCGGAGGTGACCACATGGCGCGGCAGACCTCTCCTGACCCGCCCGCTGCTCCCCTCAGCAGTGTACTTCGTCGATCTGCCTGTTCTGCTCCCCACTCTGTCTCTGGTGAAGCCTCTCGCCGCCCCTGAGCCTCTGGCCTGTACCCCAGTTCTGTATGCACAAATAAATAAATCTTAAAAAAAAAAGTTCAACGCTTGACTCAAAGAAGTCTTCAGTAAGTGCCACCCATCATTGCCTACTGCTGTTCTTCCACAGGGGCTTAACCCATCATAGCACACATGTCCCTCAGGGAACCGGGACTCAGCTTCAAGGGCAGCACCACCAGCCCAGAGACTCCCCACCCTGCAGAGTCCACCTCTGGGCTCCAGATGTGCAGGTGCATTTGGGGCTAGGATGACGTTTTGCACGTGAATCGTGTCCTTTCACTCTGCTCCCCCAGTCCCACCAGGGCAGGTAGCAGAAATCCTGCAAGCCCTCTGCCTCTTGCATCAGAGCAACCTGATGACAACCTACCTGTTGTCATCAGAGCCAGCCTGTCGCCAGGAGGGAAAAGCAGGGGAACAACAATAATGTCAGTGGGAAGCTGGGTGGGGATGGAAGAGAGGAGCAGACTCTCCAGTCAGAAAAGCAGGAGTTTCCCTTGGAATGGGGGGGGGGGGGCATCAGTGAGTCCTGCCTGCCCCGTGGCATGGAGGCTT